CTTCACTGGGTGCTCCTAGGAATTCTTTTTTTTTTTAAGTTAGCCTTAGGAGCAAAAGAGTAAGTACTAATGCAGCAGACTCAACAGATGTCATTTTGATATGATTTGATATATTTTTCCACCCAATTCCTCAACAAATCAAGCAAAAAACAGCATATTTACTTTATTCTTGCATTGACATGCATCATTAGAGGCTGGGTAGGAGAAGCTTTGGGGGAAAGGACACATAGTCATAGATTGATAAATATTAGAAGTCAATATATGCATTTTGAAGTAGTGAAACTATTTTTTAAAGTACAATGCAAAACATTATTAGTTTTACATAATTGTTTTTTCTTTGATAGAGGTAGCTAAGTGGCATAGTGGATAGAGCATTACATGTGAAAGCCGGAAGACCAAAGTCAGCCTCAGACACTTGCCAGATCTGTGATGCTGGGCATGTCACACTACTTCTGCCTCCCTCAATTTCCTCATCTATAAAATGGAAATAATAATAGCACCCATCTCTCAGGGTTACTGTGACAATAAAACAAAATAATATTTTTAAAGTGTTTTGCAAACCTTAAGGTACTATGTAAATGCTAGCTATTGTTGTTATTATTGTTATTGCTATTATTATTATTAATTATTAATTATTATCATTTATACCAGGATGGATTCATTGGGTCAGTGGGGGGTAGGGGTTACACTGGAAAATTATAGGATACAAAAACAAGAGTAACCAAAAAGCCTTTTTTTTTAAACTGGAATGCAGAATTTTCTAATTCTAGATGTTAACTAATCCAACTGGTCATTTCCCTCATTCATCTTGCTAACAGTTTCCCCTTACCAGCCTCCATCTCTCAGAGCTGAGTGTCCCACATGGGGTCAAGGAATGGGGCTTTCTGTATTCAGACAGAGTGGAGTTCCTCCATTTTGGACCCTGGTTAAGGGTATTGCCTGGGCTAGGAAGGGGGGCCTCTTTGGTAGCTTTAGTGTTCACTGTGTCTCCTCCATTTAGCCTCCCTCAAAATTTACATTTCTGAATGCTGATACCTCGGTAGGAATGATGGGCTTTTAGCTTCCTTATAGCCAGGAATAAAATTCAGTTGATCCATCATCATATAATGAATCTTAAATCTTAGCTTGGTTAGTACTAAGAATGCCCTAGTGTTTTCCTGTACCATCTCCCTCACTTTATTTCCAGAAGGAGAGGTATTGGTTAAAAGGCCAAAGAAATGCCTTCTTCCTGCATATTGCTAGAAACTTCCCCCTCCCCTTAGTGGCAGCAACATCAATGTCCCCTCTTTCCAATGCCTTGCACTGGCAAGACTTCTCTTCATGCAAGACTTTTAAGACTATCTCTTTTTGTCAAATACTAGAGAAAGGCAAGAAAAATGGAATTCTTTCCTTTGTACTTCAAAGGCCATGTTTCCACCATTCCCAGGAAAGCAAAAGATGCTATGATTGAGGAAAAAAAGAATTTAGGAGCATCTAACTTTGTTCTATCAATAAAATAGGACTTTCCAAGTTTCAAATAAGCTAACTCTTCATTTCAAAGGATTTGAAATTTAGTGAGATTATATTTTTACCTTGTTTGCTCCTTCTGAGTTGTATCATCACAGGTTGCATGGCTCCGAGTTCAAAGTACTAAGTGCTTTAGGGATTTTCAAGTATTGAAAAAAATTGGTCTCTATCCTCAAGGATTTTTAAAATGCATAACCTAAAGAAAAAAAAAATAGCAACAGAATTGAAGATATGTCCCTTCTCACACTTTCTTTATAACTCCCTTCATTTGTCCCTCTGGGTAATTTTAGGTGGAAAGTATATGTACAAATAAATGAGTATAGAGAGCTCCTGAAAAGAAGCTTCCTCTACTAGAACAGATGGGCATCTTTAAAGATTTATAATCTTAGACAGTTGCCTGCAGCACTGAAAGGTTGAATGACTCACCCAGTGTCAGAGGTGGGATTTGAACCCAGGCCTTCCTGACTCCAAGGTTCAGTTATGAAATCAGTGTCCATTTTGTTAGAATACTTATAAAAATGATCATGTTGATCTTTTACACACGTGCTGAGAGAGAAGGGTGGCACAAGAAGACTCAAGATAGGAGTTGGCTTCATCTTAAGGAAATGTCCTGTTGTTCCTAGCTTTTTCTAAAGAGTGCACACCAATTTCCCTCTGAATCTGGTGCACTTTAGGAAAACTGAAAAGTTACTGGGAATCAGCTCCTTAGAATTAAGTGATATAATGTGATATGCATCACTTGTAGAGAAAAGTGCCTTGGCTTATTCCATTCTTCTTATTACTAGGTAAAGATATTCAATAGTCAATAGTCCCATACTCTTTGCTTTCAGATAGCAGGGATTCAAGACACAAAGGGCGAAGTATATAGATGAAGAGGTAAATAGAGTGCCGCCTTGATCTCATGCTGTTCTGTCCTTCCTTGGTTACCTGTAACTGTGCACTGAATAAGGGGAATTAGGGGGAATAGCAGTTATCAGCCTTGCCTAGGAATAGACTCCATTTCTGAAAGAAGCCTGATTCGATTATAGGGTGAAATGGACTGAATATATTCTTCAAGAAGGGACAGTTCTTATGGCAATTTGCCCCCCTCAGATAAGGGGCCACTTTGAGAATAGCCACTTTAAGAGGTATGGATGTATGGATTTTTTTTAATGTGTTGAATCCTCAAACTTTCAGTACAACCATATGTTCTATAATTTATCTTTTAATTTACTGTAATCTTATTAGACTAATATTAATTGAATCCTAGAGTTCCCTGAAAAATAAATTCTTTTGAAATGGTATAGAATCCAGTTTGGGTACCTTACTTTGGAAGGCATAGATGAAGGCTAACATTGTAAATTTGGTATTTAACTTGGACATTTCCATAACAAAGCCACAAGACCTAGGTTCTTAGATGATAACTTGATGAGCTAGATAAGGAACTATGCAATCATTTTATTCACTTAACCAGTGAAATTTAATTTAAGTGAAACTTTATATTTTCATTTAGTTAAAATTTCACTTAGACTCTTTTGAAAGCAATGTGGTGAGGCCTGTGGACCCCAAATCAGAATCATGTTTTTAATTGTATAACATAAAATATACAAGATTACAGAGGAAATGTAGTATATTGAAATAGTTGCATCAAAACATAAAAAAGCCCAGTTCATAGACTCCATGTTAGAAGCCCTTGACTTAGAGTGAATTACAAAAAAGAAGCTGCATCTTTGAAACTTTATGTACTTAGATCTCCTTTTCTCCACTGGTGGAAAAGATTATAATTAGATAGTTACAGTCTGACTCTGATGACATCCACCAAGCCCTGATTAGAGGTCCGTAAGTTTCATGTTTTGTGTCTGCAGTTTAAGAACCCATGTTTGATGTCTCAATGCAGGCATAGACAAAGCCATTTCTAGCTTCTATATCATGGTACTGCTGACCTCATTACCTCTCAAGGACACTGTTCTGGGTAACTATTTCTTCTTCCATGAGGACCTCCACTCTAAATAAATCCCCCCCATCCTATCTCATATCATGGGAATATTGAGAACAGTGGCTGCATTTATGAACTGAGTAAGAAATATATATCAATGTAGATATGCATATATGTATATATGTGTGTACATTTGTTGTTCAGTTGTTTTCAGTCAAGGCCAACTTTGTGACCCCATTTGGAGTTTTCTTGATGAAGATACTGGGGTGGTTTGCCATTTTCACTGGCCGATTTTACAGATAAGGCAACTGAGGCAAACAGAGGTTAAGTAACTTGCCCATTGTTACACATCTAGTAAGTAGCTGAGGCTAGATTTGAACAAAGGTCTTCCTGATTCCAGACTCAATACTCAATGTACTGTGCCACCTAGCTGCCCCATATATATGTATATGTGTATATGTGTATCCATGACATATGTACATACACATGTGTATATGCACATTTATATGTGCATTGTACATATATGTCTTTTATTTTAAAAATTCTCTCTATTTAGAGAAGAATTGCAATTATATTTCAGCACCCTAGGTCAAGGTAGGTGGTGCAATGGATAAAATACTAGTCTTAGAATCAGAAGGACCTGAGTTCAAATCTAGCCTTAGACATTTACTATCTCTGTGACCCTAGGCAAATCACTTACCCCTGTTTGCCTCAGTTTCCTCATCTGTAAAAGGAGTTGGAGAAGGAAATGGCAAACCACTCCAGTATCTTTTCCAAGAAAACTCCAAATTGGGTCAAAAAGAGTTCGACATGACTAATCAAGTAAACAACACCACCCTAGGTCAAGTCATTTAGCATTTATTAAGTGCCTAATATATGTCAAGTGCTGTGCTAAAGTGGTAGTGATGCTAAGAGAAGTAAAAACATTGCCCGACCTCAAGGAATTTCTAATCTAAAGGAAGACAACGTACAAGTATTTATGTGCAAGCGGGATATATACTGGATAAATTGGAGATAGTCTCAGAGGTAAAGGACTAGCATTAAGGAAGACCTTGCAGAAGGGGAGATTGTTTACCACAGCTCAATAATATGATGATGTACTTTAAATTCATATAAGCCAGATACTTTCCCGAAGTTTTTAACACATTAGCCTCTCTGGGTCTTAGTGTCCTCATCTGTAAAATGAGGAGCAGGATTAGCTGGTCTCCAAGGTCCCTTCCAGCTCTGAAGATTCTCTTAGTCTCATTTTCCATTCCTTTTAATTATTCAGTATACTCTGCAGAATTTTCTAATGCCTCTGGGTTGTTCCAGATATTAGACCTCTGTCTTAGCCAGAGTTGTTGCTGGCCACTATTACACACTCCTTATTGAGAGCCCATAAGCACATACTTCTTAGTGCATTCATCACTTTCCAGAAAAAAAAGAAGCATTCCTTACCCTCTGGGAACAATAGTGCAAAACAGTATTAGGCCCAATCATCCTGTCTTTGCCAATTGGATTGTGTTTGACAATCCTTGCATATGAGACATTTAATCTACTTTCTGTCCTTCACTGTTTTCATCTGCATTTTTCCTAACAGAAGGGAGAGCCTGACCGCTGCTATGTGCTGTCCCTGGAGACTCCTGAGCAGCTGACCTTCGAGATCCCTCTCAATGATTCAGGGTCTGCTGGGCTCGGAGTGAGTTTAAAAGGGAACAAATCCCGAGAGACAGGAGCTGACTTGGGGATTTTTATCAAGTCTATAATCCATGGAGGTGCTGCGTTTAAGGTAGGTAAGGATGGTGCTGACCCTGAAGTGCATGAAGTTGTAAGTGGTTTAAGCGCTCAGTTTGAGAACTGGACTTTCGACAGTTCTATGGGTATTGTACAGGTATATCATTCTGTGCTCAGGAAAACTACCCCTTTCCCTGTCTCTTCAGGCCCTCCAGACCCCAACACCCCACACTCACAGCAGACGACAATTTCCCACTTCACCCAGAAGATTAAGGCCAAATGATACTTCCTGTTTTATTCTCCTCAAAATTTCTTAGTAGCATTACACTCTCTCCTCTATCCCTCTTTTCTCAAAGGAAGAGGCATCCATACTCCTTACTGTCATCTCTCACCCTATGCTTGACCTCTGTCTTCTCCTATCCCTCCAGATCATTTCCCTAGCAATAAGCATGCATCTGAAGTCTACCCCATCTCCATTGGCTACTTCCTGACACTTAGAAACATGTCCCCATTTCTAAAGAATATTTCCTTGGATCCTGCTACCCCATCCCCCTTCTGTCTTATCTCTCTCTTCTCCCTCACTGCCAAATTTCAGAAAAAGTTGTCTACAGCTGATGCCTCCACTTCTTCATGACCATCCTGCAATCTGTCTTCAGTCTTCCACCACTGTCCAGAAATTGCTGTCTCAGATGTCATGACCTTCTAGTTATCAAACCCATTGACCATGTTCCCAGGTCTACTCTTTGACCTCTTTGTAGTATTTGATCCTGTTGACCACTCCTTCCTACTCCAGTATTCTCTGGACTTTTGATTTCCCAAATACCACTCTTTGGCTGGCCCTCATCCTACCTATATTACTGGCCATTCTCTGTTGATTTTGCTAATTGTTCATCCTCTTCTCATCTGTTAAAAGAGGAACATTTTGTGTCAGGTGACAGTGCCTGGTGAAGCCTATGGACACTTTATCAGAATGTTTTAAAAAGCAAAAAATTAAATACTAAAGATTACATTGAAATGTTTTTAAATTTTTTTTAAATTTAAAATTTTTAAGTGCAAGAAAAAGATACCAGAACCCCTGCCTTAAGATAAGCATTAGTAAAGATTCTATCCTTGATTCTTTTCTTTTTGTAAAATAAGGGAGTTGGACTAGATAACCCACAAACTCAGGAACCATATAAACAAAATTATAAAAAACGTTTTATGCAAATAAAATCAGTTTTAAATAATTGGAGAAATATTCATTGTTCATGGGTAGGCAGGGCCAATATAACAAAAATGATACTCTTTCACTTCATTTTCTTGACGATCTCATACATTCCTAGAACTTTCTCCTCTATACATCTTTGAACTTTAAAATGACAATTCTTTTTCCCCATACTTTCTTCACAATCTCACATATTCATAGAGCTTTCTCCTCTATAAAATCTTTGAACTTTTATTCCCCAATTGTAATCTGTAGTAACTTCCCTTGAGATACCTCTGCTTAGATGTTCCCTTGACGCCTTTAAAGCCTAACTTACCTTTCCTCCTAAACCCCATTCTCCTTACTTCCCTATTTCTACCAGCAACGCTGCCATGCACTAGCACTTCCAAGACAGAAACCTTGATATTTTCTTGGATTCTTCTCTCTCCTTAAATTCACCATAGTATTTTAGAAAGAGCCCTGCATATGGAATCTGGAGACCTGAATCAATTCCTGGCCCTGACTAATAATAACTTTTTGACCATGGGCAAGTGTCTTAATATCTTTGGACATCATTTCCCTCATCTTTAAAATAATGGAGTTGGACTAGATAACCCACAAATTTAAACATATCATCCAAGTTACGTGATCTTTCCAAGACTCAGTTTCCCCAACTGTTATGATGGAGATAATATATTTACTATCTATACAGCAGTTTGTAAATCTAAAAAGTGTTATATAACTTTGTGTTGTTCTTATTACTATCATAATACTCAATCATTTACTAAGTTCTACTTGTGTAATATCTCAGTCTTCCTCTCTGTTTTCACTGTCACCTCCTTTAGGTACAGGTCTTCATCACTTATCACCCAACCAAATTATTACTATAGATTTCTAATGTGTATTGCTATACTTACCCTCCATTCCTTACCGTGCTAACCTTCTTTATGCATAGTAAATCTGTTTAGGTCACTCCTTTCTTCATAAATCATTAGCAGCTCCTTATTACCTATGGTATAAACTTCACACTGACATTCAAGGCATGCTACGAGATCACCACCTTATTTTTCCAGCCTTACCTCATAGCATTTTCCTATGTGCAAACTGAAGTACTGTCTGTCTCCTGAACACTCTCCTGGCTGTCCTGCTTCTGTATCTTTGCTTATTTGTCCTCTTTACCTGAAGTGTCCTCCTTTCTTAGATTAGCGTATCAAATACTTACATGTTTTCCAAACCATATATCAGATGTATCACTTGACATCATAACGGAGATTTTTCAAATCCACTCTCTTCGCCTCCTTCCTCACTTATAAAGTGATATTAGACTAGATGATCTCTGAGTTTCCTTCCAGTTCAAAATCTAATTCAAAATGACCTTCCCTGCCTGGGATCTCACATAGCACTTTGCTTTTCACTGATGTATTTATTATGTATTGTATTATTTTCTAATTATTTATGTATATGTGGTGTCTCCCTACTAGTATTTAAAGTTCCTGAGAGCAGGGATCCATATCCTACCTAAACTTTGTGACTCTCCCAATACATATCATGTACACACAGGGAGTATTTAATAAATGCTTGTGGTATTTGAAATTGGAGCAATGATTAACTATTTTCTTATAGACCACAGGAGTTTTTTTTTCTTCTTAGAAATAGTTTTAAAAACAATGTATCATTTGGCCTTTTTTCTATACTGTTTTCTGTACTATTCTTTCTTTCTTTCTTTCTTTCTTTCTTTCTTTCTTTCTTTCTTTCTTTCTTTCTTTCTTTCTTTCTTTCTTTCTTTCTTTCCTTCTTTTTAGGCAATTGAGGTTAAGAGATTTGCCCAGGGTCACACAGCTAGTGTCAAGTGTTTGGTCTGGACCGGATTTGAACTCAGGTCCTCTTGACTTCAGGGCCAGTGCTTTATCTACTGTGCCACCTAGCTGCCCCTCTATATTTATTTTTAACATTAATTTTTTTTTTAAATTTTGAGTTCCAAATTCTCTCTCTTCCTTCCTGTCCCCACCCATTTAGAAGATAGGCAGTATGATATCAATTATACATGTGAAGTCATGCAAAATATATTTCAATATTAGCCATGTTGCAAAATAAAAAAAAATTAAATTAAAAAGTAAGAAACATTTTAAAAGTGAAAAAAATGTACTTCAGTCTACACTCAGAGCTCATCAGTTCTCTCATTGGAAATGAATAGCATTTTTCATCATGTGTGATTTGGAATTGTCTTGGATCAGTCTTGATCTGAGAATAGCTAAGTCTTTCACAGATAATCATCTTTACAACATTGCTGTTACTGTGTACAACATTCTCCTGGTTCTGCTCACTTCACTTTGCATTAGTTCATAGAAACCTTCCAAGGCTTTTCTGAAACCATCCTGCTCGTTATTCCTTATAGCACAATAGTATTCTTTCACAATCACATACCACAACTTGTTCAGCTATTCTCCAATTAATAGGCGTCCCCTCAATTTCCAATTCTTTGCCACACAAAAAGAGCTGCTATGAATATTTTTGTACATATAGGTCATTTTCCCTTTTCTTTGATTTTTTTTTAGGTAATACAGACCTAGTGGTGATATTGCTGGGTCAAAGGGTATGCCGAGTTTTGTAGCAGCAGGGGACCTTTCATGAGAACAACTGAGTTCTACTATTACATTATGTATTCTATACGAAGGTCATTATTCTCTTGTAGCAGACTTGTGTATTTGTACAAGGATTATAGAAAGAATGGATAGCATAGTGGCTAGCATTGGACCTAGGTTTGATTCCTGTCTGTGTGTCTTACCGCCTATATGACCATATGCAAATCTATTAACCTCTCTCATACTCAGTTTCATCATCTGTAAAATGGGGATAATCCCTATAGTATTTACCTCATGGGATATTGTGAGGTAAAGAGATAGACTTTGCAAAAACCTTAAACCTATAGAAATGTCAGCTATTATTATCTTTGATAGTTGGAGTCCTTCACCCCATTCCCCATCCCAAACAACACAATCCAGTTTATATGTATTAAGTATTGACTATATTCAAGGATTTAGATACAAAGACATACCTGTCCTCAAGGAGCTATTTGTGACTTAGCATCACTCAGAATTTGAGTTAAGATCAGAAGGAAAATACTGAGGAATTAAAAATTAAATTTAAAAAAGAAGCAAGCGTGGTAGAGTTGTGAATTGATCTAACCATTTTGGAGAGCAATTTGGAACTATGCCCAAAGGGCTATAAAAATGTGCATACCTTTAGACCCAGCAATAGCACTTCTAGGGCTATATCCCAAAGAGATCATAAAAATGCAGAAAGGATATAGCAGTTCCTTCTGTGGTGGCAAATAATGGGAAATCGAGGGGATGCCCATCAATTGGGCAATGGCTGAACAAGATGTGGTATATGAATGTAATGAATACTATTTTGCTATGAGAAATGATGAGCAGGCAGACTTCAGAAAAACCTGTAAAGGCTTGTTTGGTCTGCTGCTGAGTGAAATGAGTAGAACCAAGAGAACATTGTACACAGTAACAGCCACACTGTGCGATGACTAACTTTGACAGACTTTGCTCTTCTCAGAAATGCAAAGATCTAAGACGTCTCCAAAGGTCTCATGATGGAAAATGCTATCCACATCCAGAGAAAGAACTATGGAGTTTGAATGCAGATCGAAACATACTATTTGCTCTTTTTTTTTCCTTCTGTTTCGTTTTGCTTTGTTTCTTCTTTCTTATGGTTCCTCCTATTGTTTCTAATTCTGCTTTACAACATGACTAATGGAAAAATAGGTTTAATAGGAATGTATATGTATAGTCTATATCAGATTGTGTGCCATTTTGGGGAGAAAGGTGGAGAAAATTTAAAACTCAAATGCTTATGGAAGT